CTTAACCTTGAGTTTTTGCAACTACTTCATTTTTTAGCTCAAGAAAAAAAATGAATTAAAATCTAAATTGTGACCATCCCTATCTTGATACAATGATGGCGTTGTATATAAAAGAAGTTGACGGTCAAGGCTGTACATTCTTCCGTTATGTGCGAGTCTATTGCTGACAAAACATAGAACCTATCCTCGAGTTTTTGCAGCTACTTCATTTTTTAGCTGAAGAAAAAATGAATAGAAATCTAAATTGTGATCATCCCTAACTTGATACAATGATGGCGTTGTATATCGAGGAAGTTCAAAGGATTAGGACCTGATTAACATCATTATTTAGAGTACTCGACTCGAAATCAAGAGGTCCCGGGTTCGAGTCCTGACATGCCACCGATCTTGATCCCTTGGGAAAGGCACTTTACACGACTTTCCTCACTTCGCTCAGGTGAAAATGAGTATTGTACTGTCCCCTGTGTTGGTGGTGGCATTAAATATAAGTTTAAAAAACTTGAGTGTGCCGTCACCACGTCTTCTGATTAGATGTTGGAATATTAAAAAAAACATCATTATTTCATAGTCGCATCCTTGACGAACTGGCTTGAAACACTAAATATTTGTTCAGGGTATATTTTCACCCGAGTCCAACCCTCAACCCCTAAAAACTGGGGACATTCTATTAATTCCTTCCGCTGTTCTTTGAGCGAGTAAGCCTCTAGCAGATATTGCGCAATCCTGTGTTGAACGAACTCCCATTATGTGACGCATGAGATAAGTGAAATGGCCTGAGGGTGAGTTGAGATCGGAATGTGAAGCCAAGCCGGCCGGGACACCGAGAGAGCTCCTGCCGCTTTGTCCCTATACCTTTGGCCCACTCTGACAGACCTACACCTCTGCGATTACAACATGCAACATGTTACAACGTGTAACGTGCACCCCAAGCGTACTTACAAGGCTTCAGAGCTGGACAAGTTGGGCTGATTTTGGTGTGTTCTAGACACGAAGGGAACAGCTAGACACTCTCTGCACAGGTAACACATTCTTTTCCGACTCCCCTGACCTTAACTCACGTACAACAACTTGTGTTTAATGTACGACAGAGATAGAACGGTTTTTGTGATGACTTTTAGCCTGTATGAATCCAGTGGTAAATTCTTTAGGCCAGTAAGGACAGTTTAGCCTCCATTTCTGTTCATTTTCTGTGGCAGGTGTTGTGAGATCTGTTTTTATCGCTCCTGGACATGTGTGGACGCGTTTAACAGGCAGGATTCAATAATCCTATTGTTTATAGGTTCCATTCATAACATCGTTGCCAGTCTGGAATGGTAACCGTACTACAGTGGTAGAGGGAATGTTACCGGTACATAAGAAGTGTTTTTGTAACACATATAATGTATATGCCTGTGTAACAATGGGGGGTTTATAGGCGCTACCAACTGACGGGTCTAGACCTTTTCGGCCGACGGTTAGAGTGTCTGCCTGTGGACTGGTGCCCGGGTTTGGTCGTGGGTTCGAACCCCGGCCCGGGACTAGTAGGTTTTTATCTGTTTCTACTGGCTCCTCCTGTTTCTTACACCTGTATGTTCTTTCGATTAGTTGTCCTAAACATGGTATACAACATAAAGGAATATGTAGTAGCATTTGATGATTCCAATATACAAGAACAGTGAACCAAGAATTATGTCTGTGGAGTTGCTTCTTCGAGTATGTGCACACTAGATTTGTAGTTAGCATGTATGTAAGTTGTGGCCTGTTTCTGTCAAGCATCACAACTAAATTTAGCGGTTCCTAATAATAGGAATGCATTTATAAGGTTACAGACCGGAGTATGCAATTGTAGTAAACATTTTGGCTGTGAAACGCCTATATAGTCACTATCTCTTGCTCTCACTGTTTCTTCGATGTTTAGTTCTCGTCCACAAAATGATGCACATTTGGGACTGATAACCATATTTACCAAAAGAGGCCTCTCTAAATGCCCCCCCCCCTCCCAAATGTTTACAAGAATGTAGAACCGAGTTGTCGACGAATATGTCAACATACCAGCCCTCCCCACCTATATACTAGCTTCTACATATGTGGCTTTTCTTTTCAACCCAGAGTAGATTGGTTTTCTATATACTGTTCACTTGTGGCCTTTGACATTCTTGCATTTTCAGTGATTTGACATGTTAGTGATCATTAACTCCTTTACTGACTGCGCAGACCAGTATGCAGTTTTGTAAGACTGTAATTTTCCTCTACCAAACACTCCGTACTAATTAGGTAGCCTCTACCAGGCTTCAGGAGGCGGCTGGAAAGAGTAGAAATTGGCCAAATAGAGAGATAACATGCCAGGAGAGTTGGTCAGCCTTGGTATAAGCGGCAAGCGTACTCCGAGGCGGACTAAATTCTCTGACATCGTATCTGTGACATCTGTCTATTTGGCCAATTTCTGCTCTTTCCAGCCGCTTCCGAAGCCTGTTAGAGGCTACTAATTGGTATCCCCTACGATCTGGAACCTGTTGCATCGTTATAGTTCATCATTGTGACCTTTTAATGCTCTAAACTTAGAATATATCCGGTTAGCAACAAGGAGATTGATACACAAAAGTGATTACATGGATGTGAACGTTGAAGGAGATTAGGAATTATCATGCTTACTGGGTTAGAGTCAAGGCCACAGCAAGTAAGTTTTATGGATGACATCCTCCGCAGACTCCAAATCTAATGCGAGCGGGCGAAAAAAAACAAGGCGGGCCGAAAAAAAAGGGTTCCTACCTACACTTTAAAATCTTGACTCAATCATTGTGCAAATGGTTTTGATTCAGTGGGAATCACACATTACTGCATCAAAGTAAGAAACAAAACATTAAATCAGAGCCTTTTCTTGCCATTGACCTTCCGGCATGGCAACAGACATCTTTGCCCATTTTCGGCATGTTGACCACTGTCAGAAGGCAACATAATTTCTTCTTTTTTTTTTCCAAAATCAGGCGAAAATTAATGCACGCTGATGTCATCCATAAAAATTACTTGCTGTGGCCTTTTCATGCTTACTGGGCTAGAGTTAATCGGAAGAGCGCAGTTTTTTCTGAATTGGGCAATTAAAAAACCCTGGCAGCGGAGTGAACAATACTGGTGTTGTTCGTGTGTAACAGGCCGGGCATACAGCCGGATAGCAGTGGTCAGGTGCTGTAATTACTGCGTGTAAAACTACTCTGCAAAGGTTAGCAGATTACTTCGACCATGTTTTGGCTTAGGCAATGTTCTTACACAGCTTTTATCTTGGACCTAAATGGGTTTCTACAGATGAGCTTGTCTTCATTGAATTTAAGGGCTATAGGACATCGTTAAGTTGTTGTTTCTAGTATAAACAAGTATGAACTAAAACTAAAAAAAAGTTGTTTTTTGCGGAATAATGTTTGGTAATGTTGTGTTGTATTTATTATGCTGCAATGTCAACCTTGTAATGTTGTTTTTAACGTGTTCAAGTGATAACTACTTTGTAGTTTGGAAACTCTTTCAACCATTCATAAGCATACAACTGTCATGAGAAGTATTTACTTTTTATATCGAAACGCTGCTTGGAAATTATGATATTATCCTACAGTGTAATTATTGACTTTCCTATGGAACAGGCTCTGATTTTTATTTTCGTAGTACAAAAACTAGTCATTATAAATTTTGTTTTCGTAGTACAAAAACTAGTCATTATAAATGACTAGTTTTGTACTACGAAAACAAAAATCAGAGCCTGTTCCATAGGAATGTCAATATATTTTTACACTGTAAGACAATATCATGATTTTCAAGCAGCATTTTGATATGAAAATTAACTGATAAATGGTGACACATTCTAAAAAGTATAGAAGGAAGCCAACTATAACACACATACATGCAGATCAGGCGTACGGATTTTCTTGGTTTGGATTTTTTTTCTTTTAGTGTCATACTTCTAGAAGATCCGTCCTCAACGAGACAGCATAAGTGTGATGAAATATTTATATGAATGAAGACTTAATCTATTCTTATACCCCGAACGCCTTGGGTGATGTTTCAGCCATTATGTGCAATTATACCCGACCTGCTCGCAACAGTAAGTCGGCGACCCTGAAGTAAATTGCCTCGGCAATTTTACCCACCGCCCTATTGTGTCACACTCTGCCTCAGGCCGCCATGTTGGAACACAACGCACCAAAACCGGTCGGGCGACTTCTGACCTCGCAATCAAAGCGCATGCGCCAATTACAGATTTTGTCGGAGTCATTTATCAATTATTTACCACCGTGTCCAAAATGCTCCCCTTCTTCCCCACCATTCCCTACCACAAAAAAAAAAAAACAATTTTACTACTAAAATCAAAGAACCCACATATTATAGAAGTGGGTAAATTCGTCTTCTATTGCCTAAAAAGAAGTCAAACCCAGTAAAACTAGTACCATGTATGTTGTAGAATGTAGTATAATGCTTGACGTAGATATAGTCTCACATACCACTGTACTTTCTTTCTTATGTTGTTTGTAACTGCAATTAGCCCTCGGGCATGTATTTGCAATAAACTTTCATTAATCAAATACTTACTTTGTGTATGCATGATGTACAAAATAACTAACAAACTGGTGGACGTACCAACCACTATAAGTATCTGATACCAGCCCAGAAAAGAACAAGATGTCAAGAAACAGTCATTCCTTCAAATATCAGAGTTATCAACCAAGAATTGAGGTGTTCAAAAACTCGTATTTTCCAAGAACTATCGTAGAGTGGAACTCGTTGCCACCAAGCACAGTTGGGGCATCATCACTAAGAAGCTTAAAACAACGCCTGCAATTAGATGTGCAAAGATTGAATGTAACAAGTCGATCGGAGTTATATAGCTAGCTGCCGCCGCGCCGCGTGCCTGCGAAACTGGTGTGTTAAGTTCAATAAGGAATTCTTTGAAATTTGGTCTATTTAAATAGGCAAATGCTGTGTAAATGTTCTGCCAATCATCGATCATGAAAATGACGCATGTTTCTGTGACGCTACAGATGCTGAGTACTACGTCATCATAAGATGCTGCGACGTGTGAGGTCTTCGCTGTCCTTCAAGCTGAAGGACAAACTGCCCATCCGGCGGACCAGGTCACACGTGTACGCCGTCAAGGACACGGAACCGGACGGGCTGCCCGAACCCACCACAAGGGTCGAGAAAATAGAGAGGTTAGACACTAGCCAACATCATGTATGGTACTTGAATTTTATCTAAGTTGGTAAATTACAAAATTAGACTGTCCTCCAACTCAAAACGAATTCGGCTCACCGTAATTTTCATCAGCTGCCTGACCCAAGGGATAATGTTGACACGTGATTGGTCTGCACGCAGTGTGACGTCAGCACTATGTCAAAGTTCGTCGGAAGTCGGTGACGCCCCCCGTCCCGGTTGAGATAATCATGTGGTTTTATGCTAAGATCACAATGCCCATCCAGTGGCTCGGCTGGGCATTTTGAATGTTTTGTCATGTAACTTGAGTGCAAATCTGTCTTTGTCCTTCATGTCTCCTTTAAATTCAGTTGCTGTTGTTTTACATGTATAATTTTACCTCCGATCTCCCCCAGGCTGTCCGTAACCCAGGAGATGGGGCTACAGAATGGTCCTGAGATGGAATACTGCGGCCCGCCCTCACATCTGGAGAGGATAGACGAGGGCGTCACAGCACGTCCCAAGGTTCGTCTCAGCTTCTACTTTTAACAATCTTGTAGATATTCTGGTAAGGTATAGGTTGAGAGAGAGTGAAAAGCAGTGGTGGCCCACATCCAAATAGATATGAGTAGTGACGATGATGATGATGAAGATAACTTATGTGTTGTTGTAAGTGTAGGTGATAGTTTGTAATATACAGGTACGTAGGTTTTGTAATATATAATGTATTCGAGTTATGATTCAGTGGTTGAAATGTGTTAAACCTTAAAGAAAAAGTTGATAACATTGCAGTGGAAAACTGGACTACGTTAAGTCAATGCATGGAATCCGTTTATGTTTATACTATTAAACATGCATAAAGGTTACGATTTTCAACTGGAATAATGGTATCAAATATTAAATTTTATGCAGTGAAAGTTAGACAAACTCGTACCAAAATCAAACTAAAGCATTGTTCTTTTTTGCCCATTTGGATTAACAGTGTTATGTTCCTCTTCCAGGGCATAGGCTATACGGTGTACCTGGCCAGTAATAAGTCCCAGCCGGCCCGTGTGGACAGTGACAGCGACTTCTGGTCGGGAAAGTCGTCCTCGGAGTCCAAGGAGAGCGTGTCGACTGTGTCCCAGGCGTCAGACAACGAGGGGAGGGACGGAGCGACGGACAACAAACAGGTAAACAAAATAATTATCTCCATGCAGATCTTTCGTGGGCAATACACTAGCCAACAAATCATACCAGTTGGTTCCTGACACTGTGAGGCCAGTTGGATAGTCAATCAACCGAAAGCATCAAGAGAGATGTATTGCAGCTGTGGATATGTCCCTCCAGGATGTTCTGTTTTCGGCCAGCGCTCTCCAGTCAGTTCTGCTGACCCCTAAAGTTCCCAGCACATCGAAAACTTGGTCCTCCCATCTGCTCATGGGGCGGCCTCTGGCGCCTAGTTGGATGATGACTTGCCCCTTAAGACATGCTTGGAAGTTGGAGATTTTAAAAGAATACATGTACAGCGTAAAGCAAAAGTTAAATCTTCAAACATCTCCGATGATATCTAAGAATAGAATGACAATAATATATGCGTAACACATTATATAACCTTATATAAGTCCGATTACTTAAACATCACATTGATTTACTTTTTATATAATCAGTCGAGGTAATTGGAATTCAAATGGAACCATTTTTGCCAGAGGTACAGGCATCACGTTCGATCGTTATAAATATGCATCTAAGTCCAGACTCATTAGCATTAGTCCGATTGAAGTCACCAAGACAGCAAATTATTTGAGTCACAAATCGTCATCACACTCACACCACCCAACTAGCTATTCCAATCTTGTTTTATCCCAGCTTTATCCCAGCTTTATGCCAGCTTTATCATTTCTTGTTCTTCTGCAGGCGAAGGATGAACCTGACGCCTCAACAAACGTCGTCAGACGACGTAAGCCGAGACGTAAGGACGACAAGGGTCTGAGTCACCTGTCCAAGGAGGAGAGGGAGTCCATTCTTCTACTGGAGGAGGTGAGTTTGACGAAAAGAAAAAAAATTATGAAGCAAGTTTAAACTGTAACATCCAACACAACAAATTGGACCCACCCAAAGTTTCGACTGTACAACTCCAGTCTTTGTCAAGGAATGAGCAATCCACCGCTTCGGTGACGTCACGCAGATAACACACGTGACTCCGTGAGCAGTGGATCATAGGTTGCAGAAAGTCTGTGGCGCCCCCCGTCTCGGGATGGTTGTAATGCCCTGATGTAGATGGCCTCTTTAATCCCTCGTGCAAAGAGTTCCGTTGTGTTGTATGCTTCATACTGATTTCTACCAACACAGATGAACTTTCAAGATAAGAAAAAAACATGTCTTTTTACATAATATCAAATAATAGCTCCGTATATAGTAGCAATGGTAATAGGTCCGACCAGCCTATTTTCCCTCGGTCAAAATACAGGCTACCTATGTATATGAAGAGATTACAGTTACTAACTGTTGCAGGTGTTCTCGTACTTAGGGCACAGTTACAGCTGTGTCCGGGCAGGCTCTGAAGTTTTGAGGACACCGATATTGCGGTCATAATCAAAACCCCGTTTACAGTCAAACAAATTTCATTAGTGCTAACCCAGAGTGGCGCTACCCTGTAGGAGTCCTGGGATGTGCTGGTAGGCACCCGGGAAATATAAAAATCTTGGGTCGGTGTTACCACGATTAGGTCACGGCGTATTATTCTCATCGGGCCTAGATAGATTTTAACTCCCAGTTTTTAAAAAAAAGTACAATTGTGCCCTCAAAATGACCTGAGACAATACTTTTTATGTTCCCAGGTACTGACGGACTTCGGTGGCTGGGAGAGCGTACGGAGTAAGGCGCCTCCGCCTGAGTCTGACAGTGACGTGGACACGGACGAAGAGACAAGCGCCATCTTGGGAGAAACGGAGTCGAGCCGTCCTTCGGGGCCACCGTCGCGACGCAGCACACCGTCTTCCCGGCGCAGAGACGACGGCTCTCCCGCCGGGGCCCGCGGCGCCGACCGCTTGCGCACGAACCGCGCCGAGCGGGACAAGAAAGTCACCAGTATGATCGACGACAACTGGGTACTACGCAAACCCGAAGCTGATCCCGACGAAGCCACTATAATATCCAGCGTGATTCCGCGGCAACCCCGCAAAGACTCTCCCCCCAAGGCTGAGCGACCCTCCAGTATGTACCAGTTCGGGCGGCAGCCCATGTACTTTCCCGAAGGCGGCAATGACGACATCGACGTCGGCAGGAAGCCGAGTTGGGTGAAGCAGAACCAGGCTTGGTTCTCGCGTAACGGCCACGCGTCGAACGGCGTCGAGCGGCCGCCACCTGCGAAAACGTCCCCGCAGAAGGACAGCAAAGACCAGCTACGGTCGGACAGAAACGGTCCTAAGGAGAAAGCTGGCGACATGAACCCCGTGGTGACGTCGTCTGGGCAGTCTGAGAAGATCACGGTGGATTACAGCCAAGGCGGGGTGATGACGTCACGGCCGAAACACGAGGAAGTCCAGCGACTGTCCATGAAGGTGATGACGTCATCACACCACAAGGTGGCGTCACGTGCGTCATCACGAGGGATGACGTCAGAGGACGAGTACTCCACCGACTCCCTGTCGGACCTGACACCGGACACGGACTCCAGGTCAGTAACACAAATATCACTAAAGCTATCGATACCCCAAATGTATGATTTTGTATGATTTTATTGATTTCCAAGCAGATCTTTGGGTGGCTGCAATACAGTATCAATTTGGTAGTATCCAACACGCGAAAGGTTACAGGCGGCCAATACTGACTCCACTTTGGTTTTATAAACCCATCAAGAAAGATTGAGAACAGAGTCTGCTGGCTTACATATGTGTGCTACGTCAAATCAATTTGAGAATTTTTTTATGGCAGTGTAACGTATCAAATGACAAAGTAGCTTTCTGCTCATTGTATAGATCACCAAGTTAGCATCTCCTTTATGTCATTATGAAAAAATCTCAATCAGCTTAAGACGCTATTAATGGTAGCAGATCTATGTACACATCTAATATTATACGCCGAAATGAAATGTAACTTATACATGTCATTTTCCAGCCACGGGTCATGGAGACGAGGCGGCCCGGACTCCCTGGTCAGCAGCCCGCGTACACCGGACAGCTCCGTTCCCAACAGCCCAGCAAACACGTACGTCGCCAACCCGAGCGGTCCCGACAACACCCGACCGGACCCCGATGCCAGCCGACTAAATTCCGATGTTCTAGAGGAATCGCCCATGAAGCCTTCCCTGATACGTAAAATGTCGACAGAGAACCAACTGGCGGCTTTTGCACGTCCAACGGTCACCAAGTCTGAAACACGTCCGGCACCGAAGCCACTCAAAGGTCTTCCCTCTAAGTCTAAGTCTCAGGCCGGTGTAAAACCGCGGGCTCCCGAGCCTCCTAAGAATACTCCAGAGCCTCTTAAGAAAACCCGTGCTCCTCAGCCGCCAAAGATAACCCACTCGCAAGCAGGCACGTCTTCTGGCATCGGAGAAGCGACGTTGGACTTTGGGAGACAAAAGAGTGTATCGTCCTCCGGCCCAGATTCTGCTACAAGCAGACCTAAACAGCTTAGCGAACACCTTAAACCACCGGCGTCGCCAAGCGTAGTGGTTGTCAGAAACACAAGCCCAGACGTAACCCAGCAAAACAGAAGGCCGAGTAAAGAAAAACAGCCAGAACATAGTGCACCAAAGAGCAAAACATCGTCCGGTCAACGCGCCAAGGCATCAAACGAGATGAGAACTCTGAAACCTTCCCAGAAGGGTGCCTTTGTGACCCTGAAACACAAGGCTCCTAGGAAAAGAGCGGGTGGGAGCAAACGCGGCTTATCAAAATCCCAAACCAAAGCAGGAAGCGACCACGGTAAAGCACAGGGCAGAGCACAGGACAGGTACCACGAGCAATCGTACGGAAGACCCGACAGGACACAGTACGTTCCAGCGTCGCCTGAGCGACGAGACCAGGCAGGCAGTTCCATAGTGTTGCTGCAGGAGGACCCGGCGACCAGAAGAGCGGGGGCCTTCGTCATTCGGCCTGCCATGGCTCTGTACCGCTGAAATAGCCTGTTAGCAATGGGCGATTACATCGAAAGGCAACAACTTTGCGTGCGACAATTTGAACCCATGGAGGAAAGATGTCGTCCGCGGCAGTTGAATGTAGGAGCAAGCCGGTTGGAATACACGTACGTACGGCCTCACCAGCTGCACATAACGCTGCAAAACTGCAAAGAGATCGCTTACGTATATGTTTGATAACTGTCCAGTTGAGTACTACATATACAAATTAGCAGAGACACTGATGTAGTAGACTCAAGTATGTATTGGGATCTTTCTGACTTGGATGTCTTCAGGACTGTGCTTCAGCGCACTTTTGTAAAAAGAGAACGGTCGAACAATGCTGCGATATCTGTTCCACAAGTGTCCATCTTGCCAGTTTTTCTTTATACATAAGAAACGTTGTTTTTGTATATTTTCATACTTGTACGTACGAATAATGTATGGAAACTTGTCGCTATTAGCCTGGTATCCAGTCGTACGTGATTGGGAGTATTGGGGTGTTCAGACAGGTTGTGCCTTCGGGGGCTCTAATACCTTCCCCCTCCAAGTGCAACAGGCCGTCCGGTAGGAGTGTTACGCTAATAAGAGACAGTATGCTTGGGCATTTGGTTGTGGAGGGCTAATCAATCTCTCGTGAAATACACACCGGGAAACCTATGTGAGGCGGGCGGGCCAGAGCTCTTACGGCCCCGACCACGAATCAGACTGGATACCAGGCTAGTCTCTATGAGAGGGGTCGATTTTATGGTGCGGGGTAGCGACACAGTACAGTGTTCTTTAACTGTTCTGAATTTTAAACGCGGTGCATGTGCAAACGCAAAAAATATCGTAACAAGAGATTCTACATATATGTGCAGTATGTGGCCAAATATTGTATACCTATAGGTAGATCGTCCAGGGGTTTTGCACTGTTTTATATGTAGCCCAAATGTCTACCTCCATATGTTCTATACTGTATACATACCAAATGGTCACGAATACGGTGTTTTTAGAAATATCCTTTTAAAAGTCACGATGGTTATTTTTAAATGATATGGTACATATCAGCCACATAACGTATAACGTAACATTTAACTTACAGGTATCAGTATGACAAGGTTATAAAGGTGAATGGTAAACATTTGGTGATCTTTGGTTTTAATCCGATTTTTTGTTTAAAGCCTATATCGTTCCTGATTTTCTGGATTTTACACCAAGTATACCATTTTTACCGATTTAGAGACAAACTTTCTCTAAGAACTAAGCAATGTAACAGCAAATTTAATCTATCAATATTGATATTGTATTTGGAAGAACTCTTTACTATGTAGAAACACATGTAGACCTTCCCTGGTATTTTCTTTTGTTATAATGTTACAGGGGGATTATCAAATCCGGGTCAGAGTTAGCAATGCTAGATGTACCATCACACTTATTTTCTATCCACTGAAGTTTGAATAAAGATTATTATTATTATCATTACTCATGAACCGTGCGTTCAGAGTTGTATTGCTCATGCTATCAACGGTTTTAATAACAGACATGGAAATATCTCACTCTAGAGGGAAGGAACGAGTCAAGCTATTGTTTAATAGAACCTCCTCAGTTAGTGAGTGAACAGTGTACGTGCATGTGCGTGTGTGTTTGTTTGTTTGTTTAATTGTTTGTGTGTGTGTGTGTGTGTGTCACGTTATGTGTGTCTGCCTATGTGAGAGCGAGCGAGAGAGAGTCACATCCAAGCCATATGAATCAAACAAAATAAAATCCCATGATAGTTGGAGCCTGCTTCGACGTCGAATGATGTCCTCTCTCCAAGATGAGCATACGTTTCCAGGATGAATGTCAAGATTCTATTAGACGGGGGGACTTGGCAAGAGGGCGAGCTCATAACCTTTTCGCCAAACCTCACGTCGTCACCGCTACTTGAACAACGTGCACTCGAGGGGCTATGGGATGGACGTGCCAACCCCGCGTGCAGTGAAGAGACTCACGCTGTGTATTTCTTCACCTGTGGTACCTAAAGTATAGCTTCCGAGGGGACCCCCATTTCAGCACCAAGGACATGGCCCGTCAGAGGACAGGGCTGAGTAACCAGGGTTCTCACCAGAATTGTTGGGGGTTTTTTTTCACAGCATAGGGGTCAGGTAAAGAAAGACAACTCGTCCCAAGGACATATTATACAGTAGGAGGCCTGGTACTGTACAGTATTCTCCCCAAAAAAACATGTCAAAACTCATAACCCTCAGGGACACTACTTTCTGCTTGTTGAGGGACAAGTCCCTTGGTTGTAACGTTAGCTTCATTCTAGACGTCAAATTTAAATTTTTGTTAAGATTTATGAAGAGTCAAAAGGAAGAAGATACAGCGAAGGGGGCTAAATCACAGTTACAACTAGCTTGACTCTTGAAGTTGACGAAATAAAGGTGAATGTGAGCGGAATTACAGACAAGAACAACATTGTAAACATTGATCTGGGATCGAGTCTTGACCTGGGAACGAGGCGTACGTTAGGCAGCTGTGATTGGTCAGTTTGTGCGCTGTACGTAGGGCGCATGCGCTTCAGGCAGGCGCCATTTTGAAAAACGGATTCTGTTGTCAGCTGAAGTTTCTAAGCGTTTTGGGTGAAAAACTTGACAGAAAAGGTAAGAAACCACCATTATCTGTGTACTTTCGATGATGAAGATATAAATTGACTATTTGAAGTCTAAAAAGTATCCATGTTTTTGTAGAACGGGCCTGGATATGCGTGCACAGTGCGGATAAAAATTATGTCGTGGGAGGGGGTCGTCATACTCATAGGTTCTTTCTTGCGGATAAATTATACACACAATATTCTCACCTTGAATTCTCACCTTGAAGATCAGCCAGTAGGTACCATCTAGGGTAATGAGGCTGGCCTAGCTTTGGCGGCAGTGGCAGTCAGTAGCTAAAGTTATACTGGAACTGGTCTGGATGATCTTTCCACTCGATCGCCAGTCTTGCTTTAAACTGGTTCACAGTACTTCTGGATACAGTACTCTCTGACAATCTATTCCAGGCTGGAATCGCTCGTGTGTAGAAAAAGTTTGACCTCTGTCCTTTTGCCAGTTGGACCTGGTACTTGTATTGGTGACCCCTAGTGTTTGTGGCACTACTGCGTGTGAGTGTCGTTCTATAAGCCTTCTCACAGATCCAGCGCCGCACAGGATTGTGGGCCAGGTCAAAGGTTAATGTCACTTCGGACGGACGCGCGAACCGTGCGATGTAGCGTGTTTACATGCGTGCCAGTGTTTTGGTCTCATCTGTCATTGGTTTTGGTGCTTTCTGTTGCATTTTTCGCTGGTGCTATGGAGTTTGAATGTGAAATAGACTCAAAGGGTAGTCTTTGGGGCCATTGTGCGGTGTTTGGATGTGAAAATGGCCGACGAAAAGTGGAAGATTGGGAAGCTGAACAGTGCGCCGTTCACCCATGTTTTTTTTTTTTTTGCACGCGTATCTTGTGTTGAACCTGTGACTTTGTTTTCATTTCATTCCATTTTGTTTCGTCGAAATGTGTCCTTCCATGTATTTAATCCGTTGTTTGTTCGTCTGTATGTTTAAATTTGCGTCTCCGCCACATGTCCCAGCACTGGCACCGCCGGTCACGGCGTAAGTGCAGGCTGCGTAAGGCGCTATATATACGTTTCTGATCCACTCTGGTGGACCCCTACTCTTATCGACAAGTTTGGCGGGTTCTTTTCCGTGTGACTCTTCGGAAACACCGGACCGAGGACTTACCTTTCTGCTACGAAGGACAACAGCCATTACTGGTTTGGTCCACAGATGGGTACCGCCGGCCAGGTCTACACTACATTCGCACGTCATAAATGTTATGGGTAAATGATCTGTCTTTGTGCCACAGCATGATGGCAGATATGGAATTTATTGCAAATCTAGAATAAGTCTGTAGTAGTAGATGGTAATG